ACTATCTTAGGGCTATCAACCTGACGAATTCGCCAACCAAATTGAGCAATTCGCAAGGAGTCAACAGTGACAACATGACACAGAGGACGTGTGGAGACATCAGAATCACCGCTGTTAGAATAGCAGATAACAGGCATTGACTGCCTGACTGCCTGCCAAAAAGCGGCATACGGGTTGTGCGGGCCAGTCAACTCCGCAAAGGCCTCGGGCGGACTGGCAGCACGGGCGGTAGCCTGGAGCACAGGCCGCAAGGAAACCTCATGAGCATCCCGCGCTAGGAAAACATGACAACGCCCACCCGAAGCACACTCGCAGTACAGTGGGACCGGAACCGGGCAGTGTTGTAGCTGCTGGACCTCACTGACAGAGCATGTGCCGTCCGACTGTTGGATAACAGCATGCAAGGTATAGTGCCCTGCCGGAGTGGGGAGGTCTTCGTGCCACTGAAGATCAACATGAGGTCCCATGACATAACATCCCTGCCCGGCTCGTTGCCATTGGCTAGCAACCCCAGAGACAGGAAGGAGTGAGATCGCTCCCACATCGACAGCCTCTTGAAACCCACCTGTTTGAACCCTGATGACTTCGCCATGCCGAATCGAAGCAGCAAAACCTCGGTCAAGACGAAGATCGGTAGTATCAAGCTGGGCCATAAGCTGGTTCAGTATATCGGCAGAGAAGGAGTGCCGAAGGACATCAAGGCAGAGGACGCTTCTCCCGGTATCTGCCAAAACAGTGACGCGGTCAGCGTCTTTGCAAGGGGCAACAAACTGGACACACGGCCAAGCAAACTGGGGGTATATACAATGACTGGTTGACGGCGGTCGTGTCCGTGTATGGTGCCCCGAAGCTGATGCAGAGCATCCCTGACAAAGGTTTCAGCCGGCAGACTGAAACGAGAGCATCCCGTGGGCTGCCAAACCATACCACAGAATTCATACCCCGACGTGGGATGCCCTAAGACCATCAGCTGGGCCAGCCTCTGGTGGGCAGCAATGCTAGCTAAGGCGCGGCTCCCAACAAAGACAAACTCTTTGGCGACGGCCGGTTCTGCCTGCAGGCTAAAAGATCCTAGCGACCCATTCGCTGAGCCAGAGGGAACTACAGTCCCATAGGCAGAACGACTGACAATAAAAATTGACAGAACACCGATGATAATATGCGGCTTGCGAGAGCAGGCGAAGGCGAGACCAAGCCCATACCGGAAGACTGACGACCTCGCAACATGGCTCCCGACACTAGAAACGTCCTGAATAACGGAGGCGAGAGGCTGCTCAGAAGCGACGGTTTCCAGGCTCGCATCAAAAGTGAGGGACGGTCGCCCCGGGTCTCGTCCCCAGTGCAAGGTCAAAACCTGAAGTACCCCTGAACCTCCAGCATCGTGAACGGCAGAACAGACCTGACGCCGGCTGAGCACAACCTCTCGGCTTTGCAAAAGAGAGTGCAACTGCATCCCAGGAACCGGCTCTCCAACTGCAGCGAGAGTCCGCTGAGAGTAAATACTTTCTAGGTCAAAGGACGTTGCGGTGATAGATATGCAGCCGCCGATAGGGCGGCTATCGACAACACAAGGCGGCTCCGGGCAGGCATGATCACACGCCAGGAACTGATGCTCGGGGAGCTCAGGCAGCAACGCTGGCAGGTACCAAAAGATAGCCGCTGGTGATGACAAGTCGGATTCAAACAGCGCTCGACCGTCCCTGCCATAGGATGCAATGGTGCTATCCCGTGATTCAGGGATAAATATTAAGCCACCGGAGTGCATGACAACCGCGCTGCCCCAAAGGCTGCTACTGAGGTCACTAGGGATAGTTCTTATGGGAGGTTGGACATGTCTAGGTACTTGCACAGCCGAAGCACTTCGGAGACGGCGACTAAGGCTATGCACTGACCAGGCCTGAACAGCGTCACCTCCAGGCAGTAGCAGTGGCTGAGCATCCAGCATTAGCCACAAGTCGCCAGCTACACAGACAAGGTCCTGCCGCGTATGAAACCCTTGCTCCTGTACTGCTTGGGCAATAAGTTCCCGGCCCGATGCAAGACGATTGGTGACTACGACCTGTATCCGACCACCAAGCGGCCGTAAGTCAACAGGAACGATGACCTGATGCCAGGGCAAGCAACTGGGCGACAGAATGTACTGCTCACCGGGCAGGGCAGGTAGCGCCGACACTACTCGCTGTAAATAGTACAGATGCGGATCCAACGAAAATACATTGCAAACAGCGCACTGAAGAGACGGGCCTCCATTGCATGCATCGGTCCGCAGGACCGCAAGGTGCTGCTGAACGTGATGCGTAAAGGCACAAACTCGCCGAGTAACCCCGCTCCTAGCAGCTAAGGGGGGCCGGAGACCTTCAACATCAGCAGGCTCCACATCGTCCTCCAGATGCGTAGGAAGATGACCAACATCACGCAGTCCCTCAGCGACAGAGATATGCTCTGTTCCAAAGACAACCTGCGAGTTGATGGCCCCTTGAGGTATGAGCTGCATACAATGAACGGCAGGGAAGCACACCATCCAAAGTAGGAATCCCGAAAGGGGCCTAGAGGGCTGAGGGGCAGGTCTTCGACGGGAGCGAACAGCAGCACCGACAAACACCCTGCGTGATGGACGACGTCGGCCGGAGCATACAAAACACTGGCAGAGGGCTTCCCACCCCAAGCTAACCTGTCGACGAAAAGTCCGAATCCCAATCCCAACCTTAGAACTGAGCCCTTGCAATGCACGAGCAAGCAGCATGAAAAGGCCAGCACAGAGTACTTGGAGGTCTTGCCCGAAACGAGTAGGAGTCACGTTATCGGGGTCTCGGGGCCTTGGACAGACACATCGGCGCCGATGACTGGCTGTAAAAAGGGGCAGGGACGTCGTAATAATCCCTGAACTTCGGGAGAGGCCGACATCTCTTGTGGAAGATATCCCCGAAAAGGCCCTCCGCGCTCTATGAGCACGGTCGGCAGCAGCCATTCTTGGGCTGTTGCAGGTGCATAGCTGAACGGGTCCAGCAGATGTCCGAGCGTCATGTGCGCGGCCAAGATCACTCCTTGTCGAACCTGGGGCAGCGCTGAGGGATCGGCCTGCAACTGCTGAAGCAACTGCTGTAATGCCGTGCACAGAGAGGGCATGGCTGCCGCCGACCTGTTGTGAATAACCATTTGCATGGCCTCCCAAATCTGCTGTGCAGAAGCAAGAACTGCAGAAGTGTCGCTCCCGGAAGGCGCGAGCGGCAGGATGGCCTCTTGCTCTGGCTCCGAAGCCAAGTCTCCGATAACGTCGTCTCCGTTTTGAACCGCAAAGTGGGCCATAGCAAGCCAGTGTCCAAACCAGATATCGGCCGGTGTCACCACTGCTGGTTCCCCTGTGTCCGGCAGCAGCTCCTCGGAGTCGTCGGCCAAAGTAGCTGCCGACCGATGGCGTGCTTCGGGGGTCCGGCCCGTCGCATCGCGAGGCCAGGGAGCCGTTGAAACTCCAGGCTCTCGGCGCGGACTCTTCGAAGGGCGGCCGCTGCTCGCCACATTGCGACGTTTCCACCTCGGGCAAGGAGCAGCCGATATGATCGCGTCCGGTATTGGTGTGTCCGGAACTGAGGGGCCAGGCAAAGGACCGAAACTCATCTCGGACGTGCTGTCGGAGGGCACTGCCAGTGGCGTCAAAGAAGAGGAGGCCATCATTGGTGCGGACGTCAAGGAAGGTGCCGAGGGCGCGGCCACAGCTCCAAAAGCTCTGGTCGCCGCAGCGATCCTGACCACTTCCTGTTCCTGTACCAAGGACCAAATAGGTCCCATAGCCTGTGTAGCCTGGGCCACCTGTTCTGCTGTGACTGTCGAAGGTTGGGAGGCAAGGTGTATCTGCATCTCGTCGATGGCGGCGGCTAAGTCCTCGTCGACCTTGTTGCTTATTGCTCGGATCCTGCCCACGAGGCCCAACATGTGCTGGCTGAGCCTGGCGAACCATGCATCGAGCGAGGCAGACAACTCGGATTTCGCCTTGACGTTCCCCGCCAAGCGCTTGGCGAGCTTGCTCATCATATTTGTATGTTTCTGTGACAACTGCTCCGCTGTCATCTCTGCCGACGCGAAGGAAGCCGTGCCCCAGAGGTCTTGAGTAGCTCTGGATGAGATCGATTGGAGCGCGACGACCATCGCGGAAGGTAGGCCGAACTCCACTGTGGACACTTGTTGATTGTCGTTCTTCGGCTTCTTCCCTTGACCTTTCGGTCCCGCCGAGGCTGATGGCTTGGGCGGCATTGAGCCGTGGTGCAAGCTCAAAAGACGAATATCGGGTCTTCCCCGAGCTCCACTTTGTAGGCGCTTTCTCGCTTTGGCACGAGCTCTCCTGCGCCTCCTGTGCCAGCCGGGACTTCCTGTACGAGGACCCAGCGTGCAAGGGGTCTCGGCTAATCCACACCAGCCAGAGACCAAATACAAAAAGAGGTAGGATTGGTATATATCCGCTCAGGCGGATCATATACAAGGGATCCCAGTCCCAAGTGGTCCTGTGGGGGGTCGGCCGAAGGCAGCGAAACCCCACGCAGATCACAATAAAGTGTTGTACCAGTACTGCAACACCAGCAAAGCAACAGCTGTCGGCCCAAAGGCAGCGAGAGCAGGTGCAGAGCCCCTCCCCGGGGCAAGCCTCGACCACCAGGGAGCCGGAGGCAGCGCGCCCTATGGCAGAGCGCTGGGGTCGGGAATGCTAGTAGCCACGAACACTCCGTTAGGAGAAATCGCAGCAGGGCTAGCTCGAGCCGCGACGCCTCAAGCCCGAATCCCTCAATCCTAAACTCTCTTGGGGGTTTAGGGTTTTGCCCTGAAGCCTGAGACCCCAAACACCAAGACCCAGTCCCAGTTGTGAGTGCTGCAACACCAAGACTTAAAAGAAAAAGGCCCCGAAACCCCCAAAAAAGTCGATGACCTCATCCTTAGAGTCCCTAAAACCCTGAAACCACCAGAAAAAGCCGATGACCTCAACCTGAAAGAGTCCCTAACACCCTGAAAAGGTTCAAGACCTTCTGGAGAAGGTCGGCTGAGAGTCCCTTCCGACGGCTCCAGCACACTGCTCTCAGACACGGAGCTTTCTGATTGTGCTCACGGTTTCGATGCTGCACATGTTTCCCTAGTAGGTTTAAATGATGAGACCTGTTGTTTCAGTATGCATAGTGGTTCCTCAACCTTGCGAAAACCGTGGCAAAACTTTAAAGCAAAGTGTTGTAGCTGCAACTTCGTTAGCATGTCCGGGGCCGCCGAAGCTTTGTGATGTTTTGTTTTTTTTTCATCTGTCTGGGGTCACTGTTTAGTGTGCACTCATGCTTGTTCTATAAGGTGTGGATTGTTGGTTATTGGGGCACCTGGACAGCTGACTTAACTTGTGAGGACTGAATCATCCCAGTGCTGGCACTGGAACTGGGCACACGTCCCGGCATGGCGAATTCATAGAACCAATGTGTCTTACCTCGCCTGTGAAAGAGAGAGTTTTGATGGCACTAGACAGTTAGTTCTCCTGAACAAAACGCGCACCGAACAGCTTACTCATGATCGTATGCCAGCGCGTGCAAGAGCGACGAGTGCGGACCCCGGATAGAGGTCGCTTACAGCTTAGCGGTCTCTCGATTTCGACCGAAGATATGAGAGCATTGCTTCAATGATTGCAAGGTATCGGTAATCTTGTACGCGGAACTGCACTCACTGATTGTTGACCAACTAATTGGGACAGGGATGCCTTTCAGCAACCGGAAACGTTTGGGTTCATCAGCTGTGTTGTGACTCCCCAGACATATTGTCATTGTCACCTCTGTTATTGCAGGTTCTGACGTTGAACCGTTGAGCTGGCGAATTCCTAAACCGCTGCAAATCCGTGTAGGGCTCCAGCTACCTAAACTGTAGGCTGCCAGCATGTTTTATTTAACCGACCAACCCATTCTATCCGGAATTGGAGTCCTAGGGTACGGTGCCCACGAGCTGGAGAAGACCCACATCTCGGCTCTTCTTCGACGCCCACTTCATCGACCGAGGCGCCGCGACAGCTCCCAATGATCATCCGGCCGGAAGTTCGAGGAGAGACTTCAAAGGAGAGTGCTAGATGAAGCTTGATAATTAGAATAGGGTTTGGGGTATAATATTCTATAATTATAATAAGGAACCCCCAAAACCCTATTCTAATTATTATGGCTGGTTCTTCGGTTTCGGGCAAGAGGAGAGGCGAACGAAGGGAGATCTTTGATTGCTTGCACATCCATCACGTTCAGCATAGTCGTCCAGGCGATGCCGAAGCTGCGGCAGAGCAACGGCGCGATGAGCATGTGATCGTAATGAAGTCCGTTGTGAACAGTTTACCGAAGAAGCCCGGTTTCTTCCGCACAGTAGCAGGTTACTGAATTATTGGGTCAACTATATGTTTGACATATGGATTCGGGAGCAGTAGCACACTGTACGCGTAACTGTGTACTGTGTGACCGGGCTTCGACGGGTAGGGTGGGTCATTGCACGGCAAGGAGAGGTGTCAGCACGATTGGAACGCCAGCCGCGGAGGTATTAGCAAGAGTTTTATTCTGGGTAGGCATACATTCCATCTGCAGTGCATCGTTGACTTAGCATGGGCGTCAAATTGTGCAGAGTCTGTGGGTTGGTATTGTAACTAGTCCCTGTGTACTGGGCCTGCTGCATATTGGCCGCCTAAACAACCTTTCAACGGATAGGGGGTGCTGCCTTGCCCTAGTCCTTGAGCCTTTCTGGATGCCACAAAAGACAACACGTCTCAGAGTCGTGATGAGGGCCTCCTGAAATTCAGATTCGGGGTCGTCTATCAGGATCTATATTCAGTACTCTTATTGATTAGAGGATTTGAGATGTCTGGATTCTGAAACAACAGAAGAGCTGGAGTTCAGATGCAACAGCATTTACTAGTAGTGTCCTTGGGCATGTGGATTGCTAATGCCAGGTAGTGCTGGGCCAGACATTCACATCTTTGTACCATCGGAAAAAATGCAGCAGAAGCCAGCCGAGACGGACGCTTCCAAGCGGCGTCGACAGCTTAGTGAAGGAAAAGGAGCGTTCTACGAAAACTTTGAGGTTGTGGTACAAGTCGTCGTACCATGCCACGGGCTATGCGACAGAGCCGAAGGTTGAAGGCTTTTACCAACTACAGTTCGTGGAAGTTGAGTCAATCCCTGTGATTTTTGCGGCAATATACAGTAGCGGCTTGATTCGGTCTGACTAACTGGCAATACGATGGTCCCTATGTGCATGTACATACATACATACGTACATGACATGACATACTTACCTACATTGACATACACACATGCATGCGTGCATGCATGCATGCGTACATACGCACAGATACACACACACACTGGTATAGACAAAAAATATTTATTTGCACACACACACACACACACACGTAGCTATGTATGCTCACATACACCTAGAGCCCTATTCTTCCCGCTGGCTGAGATCCAAAAAGTAGATCCTTTAAGTGGGGTTCCCATAAAGTACCCCTTAGTAGTATAGGGTCCCAAATTAGGGGATCTACTTTTTGGACCAAAAAGCCATCAAGAGTTCCAGAGTTCCGGAGTTCGCCGCTTCGCCCAGGATTGGTTGCACATCAAGTCCTTCGACAATCTGCTCTTTGGAGTCCGCCGGGCCACTTAGAGGGTGCTACTGGGGTTCTAGACGGGGACTCGAAGGGCAGTTTTGGGGGGGCTTGGGGTGTAAGGGTCCTGCGTTGAGATACAGTTCTAGACTCTTAGATGGGGACTCTAAGGGCAGTTTTGGGGGCTTGGGGTGTAAGGGTCCATGCGCCTGTGTTGAGACATGCTCGGGCTTTCAGACTTCTCCGAGTACCCAACACTTGGTGACCTGCTTCCCTCAAAGAAAAGATGGTAGGCTAAGAAAGTACTACGCTGCAGATGGAAACTAGCTGATGAAACAAGCTCATAAGGCTCTCAGGACTCACAGTTTAAGTGCCTTCGGGTCAAAGACTATACGATAGTAGGCTTTTGGGTTACTCTGAGCCTCTACATCCACATCCATGTGTGAGACATTTGTACAGAAACGGGCCCTGCAGCTTGCTTTTCTCTAGCCCGAAGCGCGCCATGCACGCGTAGTGGAGACTGGAAGGCTTTTGAGTTGTGAGCAGGCTTCCTGAATGTGTCATGTCAGTCTCTTCGGATTTGCGAGGAAGGTGCACACATCAATCGCCGGTTCGACGTTAGTGTGTTAGGGATAGAAGGCTCTTGAAGGCGACGGTGCCAAGAATGAGCAGAAGCCTTTGTAAGTTGCCTGCCTTCAAGGAAAAACGGTACAACTGCTGACCTGAAAGGATGGCACCTCTCAATACTGCAGGTGAAGCCTGGCGAGAGAGCCTTGTGCATGATACTAGAATCATACCGGGGTTGAGGGTTTTAGGGTTTAGGGTTTAGGGTTTCAGAAGCCCAACTGCTGAAAACGCTTTCCAAAAGCGCAGGGCAGTACATTTCTCATACCTCCGAGGTCAGAACCACCCGGTCTTCGAGGCCGGCTCAGTCTGGGAGGCTACAGGTCAGGGCAGCCTCTGGATTTCGGAGGGAAGCTGACGAAGCTGTGAGGTTGAATCATTGAAGGGTCTGAGAGTCTGTGTGCATCCGCCAAGTGCCGGGCTTTCAGTTTTGGGTTGTTCACCTTTTTCTGGCCCCGAGCTTTGTCAAGGTCTTTGTATTTCTGAAAAGCCCGACCTAAACCCTGTTGCAACTCGTGTGATTGCAGGCAGCCACGGACAAGCCTGCCGGAGCCATGCGACTCGGCAGAGTTTTCTTTGTGAAAGCCACGTAGACAGGACGTCTGTCAACCATAAGGCGTCGTGTTCCGCGCTGCGCTGGTTCTTTCGACCATGGTTCGCATCACATTTCCCGGATGACCTGGCGGACAAACAGGAGTCGGTCGGGTCGCGCTGGGGTGGGT